TTTTAGCCATAGAATGGGGCAAGCGCTTTTTTTTTTTTAAATCTTTTCCGGTCGTGGCTGGATAGGGTGTGGGGTGCAGCTAACTCATTACATCGGCAAACCATTATGTGCACGGTATTCAAAACTTGTCCTTTTTGTTCACATCGGGTGATTTTAATATCTATTGGAACTTTCCCATGGGTCCAGTGTATTCATTTCTTATTGAAGATGAATATAGCTTTACAGTTTATTACATATTATTGCTTTGTTCACATTACTGTTACTGAACATGAATTACACATGGGTTTTCTATGTTAATGATTAGTATTTGTTCTTGGTAATAAATTTGTTACAACACACATCCAGGGATTGGTCAAACACTGTAATGCTTTTTAACATCCTAAACTTTCAATTTCCCCCAACATTTGGTTGGCCTTTTTATAGTGAACAACTGGCAAATTCGGTACATAGATTAGTGGCCCAAATGTTCCCAATGAAGTATAGAAATTGTCTAATCAGGATATAATCCTCTGGAAAGCCATATTCAAATGACTTAACGGGTAAGTTTCGAATTCTACCCCCAACAGGTACAACTGGCAATGACAACTTGACCCTTTGATGCTTACCGTTTAGAAAAAATCCAGTCTCACTTCTGCTTCGATATTTTCTAGGAATTTTAACATCAGAACTCTAGTTGTTTGAATGTCATATTGTGCTTTGATAAAAGTTTGTACATTTAGAGTTTTTTTGGCTCTTCACTAGCGAGTGACTGTGGAAAACAACCAGATTCTTCGTGCTTTGCTAAAAGTGAAACCCTGGAGAAGGTTTTTGTGCAGTGGTGACAACTGTACTTCTTGACCTCTGAATGTGTTTGGAGGTGAGCACGAAGGTTTGAGCGATCAGCAAAAGCACGTCGGCAGTGAGTACATGAGAAAGGTTTCTCTCCAGTGTGTGTGCGGATGTGACCCTGCAGGAGCCAAGGTCTAGAAAAACACTTGCCACAATACTTGCATTTGCACGGCAGTGTATGAGTCCGAATGTGCATCTTGAGTGCTCCTAAAGACATGTACTGTTTCTCGCAGTTTTTGCAACTGAAACACTTAGCATTGCCTGGGGCCGCTTCACAGTGGAGCTGTCTATGTTTTACTAGGCTGTTAGAGGTAGTGAATAGTTTACAGCAATCATGACATTTGTACGTGGGCATGTCACTGAAACGCCACCTGTCTTTGGGTGCAGAAGCCAGGTTTTCATTTTCCGTCACAGCTTTCACTTTCAGGCCTGATCTTTTCAGAGGTAAGTTGTCTTCTACTTGATAGATGGGAGCCATGGAAGCAACACCGGGAACGGCAGCTGTGGATGATAACTCAGTAAACTGCAGCTGACTTGCTGGCGGTTGTCTGAATTGGCTATTTTGGCATCGTCCACTCAGCTGTGCTTTGTTTCCGCTACAAATCATTTTAGTTGGCTGACTGTGAGCAAAGAGGATACTGTGATGCCAGTAGGATGGTTGCTGAGTCCCACAAGACATTCCTTTCGATTGAAGAAAGGGAAAGGAATTGGACGCCAGGGATGGAGCGTTCTCAACATTATGGGGGTCAAATGCTGCAGAAAATAAAAACGCTGAAGTTAAAGAACCCGGTTTTAGATTTTGAATTCTATTTAGGCTAACAGATGGTTTACTTACTAAAAATTAATCATGTTACCATGCCTTCCAATTTTTACTGTCTAAACTAAACTAAATGAGTACTGGTGAGGGCATTTTCAGAAGCCCAGCACCAAGGGCCATTGTGTTTGTGTTTGGGGTCTAGAGAGCAAAGTTTTGCGAGCTCGTAAAAATGAAAGTCATTACATGGCCCTGTGACCCGCAAAGTTTTGAGAGCAATAGGATCAGCAACTTGTTTAGTTACAAAATGGGGTAAACTGCACAAGTTCAACTGAAGTTGTTATCTCTCCAACAAACAAATTAAACTTTAAAACTGCACAAATAATTAACTAACCACTATCTTAAGTAATAAGCATAAGTTTTATCAAGTTGTTTTGAAGCAGGAAGAAATTCCAAAGAAGTAGAGAACCCCACCAGTTGCGTGGTAATTTAGGTTTTAGATTCAGCAAATTGCACGTACTTGCAAGATAATGTGTATATGTCCATTAGGCCAAAAAAATGAGTTGTGCCACGTTATTGAAAAAATCCACAACGCAACAGACGCTTCAAATGAAATATCCACAACGAGTACAAAACGCGAAATGCTTTAATTTAACACTAAAAACAACAATTTTGACAATTCTTTTGAAAAAAAATAAATATTACTACTTTTGGGTTAATTTTTTTTAACACCCTGTATAGTAACTGCTCTAATTCTATTTAATCCATGCTCAAGAGCGAATTTGAATTCTTAAAAAGTCGGCTGGCACTTATATTAACTGGAACAAAAAGGAATTTGCGCAGACCTTTTATGTTCGTTTGTTTGTTGTTTTACATGTAAATGACCTATAAGGCCAATTGAATGGATATTAGTTTTTCTCAAATCGGGTGTCACTCTTTTGACAGTGCAATGGGTGCACTCATTAATGAGCAATTAAATAAAAAAAGTGGAACGGCATGAGTTTACAACGCCTATATTTCCCTCTCTCACGTCCCCGAGCGGAATAACATAATTAGATTTGTAATGTCTCCATGAACTTTAACTTTAATCAATTGCTCGTCGATTCTGTAATTAATCCGTTTAGCCAATGAGTATCAATTCCTTCAGAATATTAATTGGTGAATCGGCTCGTCGCGGAAACACTTTTGCCCTGCCCAGCACCCTGTGCGGGCTCTAGGAAGGGCAAATACATGTACGTCTCACAAAATGTTGTGAAGGAAATACGTCACAAAGGTTCACTACAAAGCTGTAAAAATCCGCTCTTCCTTTAGCTAACCCGTACGCATTGCGACTTTTATGTCGACATATAATATAGCCCTAAAAGAGCTGGTGTGGAACCTGCCCCCCCCCCCCATTTTACCGATATTACTGCAGTGCATTTTTCGGGACCTGAGCCTTTAGGAGATTTTAGAGTAATCTTTGCAGATATTTTGACACAAATTTCGGAAAATCAAAACGAAATGTGTGTGGTGTATGGAATACCTGCCTTTCCTGATGGAAAAACTTGTTATACGCCTGTCAGCGAGCAATACCGGAACCGAGCGAGTGAAACATGCCGGCAAATATTGGTAATGGAAAATCCGTAATTTTGTTGGCATTGTATTAATACTATTATGCGCACTGGCCGTGTAACTACAATAGAAAAGTAAAAGGAAGTGATGACCTCGTGGTCACAGAGTCTACAAAACAAAAAAGCAGAAGATAGTATTGGCCCTTGTCTATCCAATAAATGTTCGACATAAATTACATCATGCATTTGCCCTGTCCAGCGCCCTCAGGTTGCAGACCAGTAAATAAACTGCCAGTACAACAGAATCTACGGTATATTTCTTAAAACAGCAACCCGCTACATTTACACCCTGTTCCTTAATTTGCGTCGCTGCAGACCTTGTTGATCTTTCTGCCTGACTGATCGAGCCTGCTTGGCTGTGATTGTTTCCTCAAAGCGAGTGTGCTACGTAAACGCTGTGGATCGGTGGCAATTCAATAACAAAATAAATATGTGCTTGGCCAGTCTCAAGCGCCGCGATCGCACAGAAATTCCGTCATTTTTTAAATTTCTTGTTTAATGATTTTTCTATAGGTTCAAGCCTAACCCAGCCACTTCATATAGAGCCTGAAGTTGAGCCCTGATGGTGCGCTTCCAAAACTCTCCGATAGGAAAAATATCTTGTAAAGATTTCAGAATTTGTAATATGTTTTCGTTCAGTTTCTTTAAAAATCTAACTTGGAAAAGGGGTTTAGAAAAAAATAGTGTATGTACATTAATTTATAAAAATTAAAAAATTACCTGATCTAAAAGAGAAATATCGTACCATAAATTGACCCATCACTTCCGAAAATCTAAAATATATGAAGAACAGTGCAATGCGGCAGTCTCGAACGCAGGCGAACATTTACGGTTTGAAATTTTATGGTAGTCTGTGGGTAAAAGCCGAAATAAATAACAGATCAAAATATTTTACACACTTTGACAATTTATAAGGTAATAAACATAAAGCAATCTTCTACTTTTACGAAAGATTCTAATATTTTATCTAACCTTTGCTAACAACAACTGCGTGATGTCAACTCAACGGAATCTGGAAACCATCGACTGCAAGTAGGTAAGTCTTTGCAAGGTTGTACAATCTCGTTTTCAAGAAAGCACGGCGAGTGAAAACAAACGTGCATAAACACGGAGACCTAGGTACAATATCGCCGGGCGTGAAAAGTCGTGAATAAAATTCGTTTTTTACCCAGCTCCAGGTGACTTTTCCAAAATATTACTTGAGGAAGACAAAGGTAAAATTCCAACATGAGTGTTTCATGGGTGGTTTCAGAATTATTTTTTCAAAAAATTTTCGAACGTGATAGGACGGCCCAATGTAAAATCCCCATAGGCAGACCACGCAAGGGTTCCCGAAGTTCGCTGCGTGAACTTTTCCTTTCATGCTCTATTCCAAGAGTTTCAGAGATACTCAGGTCGGTAAGTGTTCATTATGCAATTTCTATTCGATTGCGGGATATGGAATTGGGGTGTGAATGTGCTCACTTGGAAAAGTGTACAAACTTTCCAGAAGGGCTTCCCGCGATAGCGCAATAGTAAGAAGTGAAGCGCGACGCAGAGCTGCTCAATTATACATATCCTCTCGGTCAGAAAGTCAAGCAAGTTGAAAATTTGAAAAGTAGTTGACCACATATGACGAGAGAGACAGAGATACTCATTTATAGTCAATCTGTATTCATTATAAAAACTCTCTGCATTTCTCACGGAGAAAGGGAAGATAACAAACAGGGACGTATTTTTAAAGCAATATGCACCCCCACATGTGTAAATAATACAGTGCAAAATGCTTTTTCCGGCACGATTTGTGGCAAAGGGGAACCCCTCCCCATATGTGATGCACAAGCGCCTACTACATCCTCCTGGAAATCTGAAAGGAATTCCAAAGATTCCGTCCAACACAAAAGAAGACACAATAGAGGGGATCCCCTTTGCCACATTTCGTGCATCAAATGCGGTCTGCTGACTTTATACTAGATATAGTTCAATAGTTACATAATAATGTGGGCGTATAAACTTAAGTAGGTTACTACATGTGAACTGAGCATTGAAATGACTATATCTATTTACTATTTCAGATGGATACTTAGCCTATCTGTCGTCTTATTTACCGTCACACTTTGTATTTCCCCCATAAAGAGTGAAATGACTTCTACAAGTCGAAGCGCGGCTTACAACTAGTCGGTATTAAAGCCGCTAGTTTTCGGGGTTTAACATTTTTCAACACACTGTAAAAACGATTGTTGATGTTCTGATGCCTTTTACGCCTTCCTGGTAACACTTTATGAACTGCTTGTGGTGTTAATAATAACTGAACACGTGGATGTGTTCATTTCTTATACAAGTAGGTGTTGATGTGTTAATGAAAAGATATAATTACACATTTAGGTGACCGTAACAAGACACCCATACAGGCGGTGTGCTGGGTCATTGGAGTTCACTTTAGCGGTAGGCCTCATGAATAATTCATATTTTTGACTCGCCAACCTACGGAAAACATACGTGGCTGGGCTGCGGTTGGGTTGGATCAGGCAGACTCTGGACAATCACAGCATGACATGTATATAAACTATATTCAGTAAAAACAAAACAAAACAAAAGCAAACAAAAACAACAAAAGACAACAACAAGCAAACAAAACAGACCCGAAAAACACAAACGCATCAAGAAAGAAAGCTTTGCTGTAGTTATATTGATCTTCTTTTCAAAACATTTTCAGCTAATATGTTGTCATATTGTACATGCACAATTCTTGTTTGCTTTGTTTGATTTTTTTTTCAAATATATGAAAACACCAGTAATTTAGCATGGGTACTACCATCTTTTTGTTTGGTGAGGGGTAAGGAAAATTGTTTTACGGCTCAAACGAATTTGACATTTATTTTGTGAACCCCCCCATCACCCAAGACGTGGATAAACCATAAAGCTTTGGGCATGCATGTTCAGTTTCCTGAATCCGAGCTAAACAGGGTCATTACGAGTTGAGAGAACGAAAGCGTAATGAGACCAAGCGAGATGACCAAGCAGATTGGGCGGGCAATCACTGGGTGTAGTTATTTGTTGTTGAACAAAAAATTCCTTTGTGGTCAATTCATTTCTTTGGTGACTTACTTTCATTAGATGGGCTGCCGTCAGTGTGCAGTGGTTGCGTACCAACACCGGCTGTCTTGAGATTTACTGATACAAAGTATTACATGCAATACAGTCACGTGTGCAACAAAATGCCACATGATTACTACAGCACAATTGTATATGTACACCCATACGTGTACATGTACATGTACATGAAGAGTACATGAACAGACTAGCTACTGTATCCCAATTTCGTTGAAATCACGGATAAAAAGCTGGACAATGTGCAGTCAATCACACAGGCTCTGGATTTTAAATGTTAGCGCAATGGCGTTCAACATTTAAGACCTTGGTTAATTTTTGGAAGGCCGATGTGCTATCGACCCCCAAAATCCGTAGTCAGTCACCGTCATAAATGAGTTGTAATCTGACAGTCCACGATAGGCCTATACCCATTTCGGCTGTTCTGTGCATGTAGTTTACATAACCTATATTCTTATACTCTGTGCGCAGCATAGACATCAGTTAGCATGTTGTGTTTAGTCACTGCATTTGAATGATGTTAAAACAGACTTGCGACAGTAGAACAACAGGCATAGGGCCTACCTTGTACTACTTAATAATGTACCAGGCGTAGTATAGTAGGGCCTACCTGTACTTTCGATCCCACTGCGAAGTTTCTCATACGCGTTGACATTGTTCACTTGCTTCTTTACCAGGAATGATTTTGGCATTTTGTTGAAATGTCACACTGTTTCCTGTACTTTGTGTCTGACTTTTCTGATGACTGAACTTATAATTAAATTAATTTATGATCGCTAAAGTGAAGTTAGGCGGTTTATGCTTGTGCATGAAGTTCAAAGACATCACGCACTATGTGGATGTGGCACGTGAACGTGTCTGCGTACGTACGTGGTGACACTAGCTACATGATGCTCAAGCAGCATGCGCGCCCTGTAAACGTGACAAGTGACCTGCTAGCGCTGCGCATGCGCGCTGAGAACAATGCGCATTTTGCAAGGTAGTCTCGGGATGCCCGCATCCGGCTTCCAAATGGCTGTGTCGGGGCAGCAGTGTCGATTAATTTCAAGAGAGGACCGTAAGCAGCTATCTGGAAAGCATCACATGGTGTTTGTTATTCATTTATGCTGTAGCGTTTCTCCACACACGATGAGGAATAAAATGTCTAGTAAAATATTGCTTTAAGTAATTCGCGTAATACGATGTGGCTATCCAGATCAAACTGCTACCACTAGTACCAGTTTAGGTCATTATCAGATAGCTGCAGGGTCTGGATGGCCACTCCTTTGCAGTTAAAACGCTTGTTGCAAAAAGCTGGCTTCATTGACGGGCAGGCATGCAAGTATAAATAACATCAACAAAGTTAGCCAATAGTACATTATAAAATGTGTACATAACTTTTACAGTTGTGTAAAAACATTCGGTCATTAACGCCTATAATAACAGCTAAACTTCTAGGAAAATTCTCATTGCTGGCCATTGAACAATGTCCACACTAGTCAAGGTCAATGGCGTAAATCTGTGCCGGAAATTGGACGATGGGGATTGGATTGTGGGTGGGGGATGACTTGCCTGGCCATGGAAACGGGGGTGGGGGAAAGGGTGGCTGACACCATACACCCTCTATGGGGGCGATGATCATGATACAGATATACATCTGTAGTAGGTATTACATTCATTCAGAATCTTAAATCAGAATGGCATATTTCTGGCTTTTTTCACTCTTTTCCCTTTTCCAGAACATATGTAATACAAAACTGATGCAAACTGCTTGCTGACTACAGTCACCTAAAATACAGATCACAAAATAAGGAGGGCCTGACGTTTGCATCTTAGCAGAATTTTCCTCAAACGCCTTCTCGAGTGATTTTGAGTTTGTTTCTGCATTCAATTGGGGACCCTGGACAGTAGAGGACAATAAGGTCCCCGATTGACAACTGTGTACAAAACATATGGGTGGTCTTGTAAAAAAGGTAAGTTCAAACAAACGAGGAACAATAGGGGTCCCCAGTTGCAGGCAAATACACACTTACATGAATACGTTTTAAGCGTTGGGACGTCTGACAAATTCTTCACAATCCGCCTGAATTTTGTGCTCACTACAAAAAAATGTGTGGAGGGATGATCCAATAGCCCACCCTCAACCCCCAAAAGTGGGAGGGATATATACCCCTCCCCCGGGATTTGCGCCCAAGATCGTAAAAATGCACGAAATCCAGTAGCCGAATGATTACAAGTTAACAGTCAGTTCTTTGCTGCATAATTGATTCGTGATGGCTAATGTCTTTTACGTATGTATGTATCTGCTGGCTGTACATAATGACAAAATTTAAAGTTGCAAAACGATGATATATACAACTGGCATGTCCCTTGAGGAACAATCCACCCCTGGAAAAAGGTTACCTTAAACTTATAGCAAAAGCGAAACAGGGCCACCAGATACTCTCTTTCTAATGTATAATATCAGCCAGAATAGAAACTTGATAGAAATAAATGATTTATCAATACGTCTTAGCACGAATAGCACCACCTATAATGTAAAAACTATGGCGTGTTTTCGCACTCTAACGGTGGGAATACAACCCAACAACTCACACTTTCTTCTCGGAGCAGGATTACACACCACCTCTGCGTAATGGTTTGCACAAACACACGCAAAAACACGATCGAGGGATGTTGATTTTTAAAGAGTCGTAAAAATAGCGAGATGACCGAAAAAGCTGAAGACGATGCAACATTTTGTAAATGAACATAAATAATTTTCCATGACACAGAGGCAATTTTTTTTCAAACAAGAAACAATGTGGCCTATTAGAAATCCAAACATTAATCCTTGAATAGAAGTACATGGACGCCTCCATGTTACTAGTTTCTTGTCACTAACTCTAACCCAAGATTACTGACAATAGGCCTTCGCCTATGAATAACAAATCGAGCTGTCATAAACATACGAGAACACGCCAGATTTAGTTTGACTACATTGTTCAGCCACGTTCACATTACATTGTTATCTTAATCAGGACTCACATCACAACCCAACCTCAACTCATCTTGAGTCTGAACATTTCTGAATCTCTTTCCTTCCACTGAGGAAGGCTGTATTTACACGTAAACTTGAATAAATCGGCAAAATTATTCAGTGATTTCCACTTCATGCCTCTCTTGTGCTGTAGAAATACATGTTTAGTACACATAAAACTAACATGGCTGGCTTGGTTTTCCTCACATTCCGTCTTCAAGCAGTTTCAAACGTCAAAAGGCGATTCTACGAAGCAAAATTCTCGATTCTTGCAAGTGTATTGGAATTCATTGGTTTCACAGGCCTTAGAAGGCATGCACCTGTCCCAGCATTCAGTTTTAATAATGCCATTCATTGAAGCCATTGTCCGCTGCATGGATAACTGTATTTGATGTGTAATCAAGATCACTTAGCAATAGCTACATCACCCCCGTATTGCCGCTGTGTTTCTGCATTCTTTGTTCCCAATGTGTTCATTGTACACAAACACTTCTGGCCCAGCTCAGGCTTGGCAGGTGCTCCCTGCTGGAATGAAAGGCGTTAACGCGACCACCAACAGAACTAGTCGGCGGAAACAAAGCATCATAAAGATCGTGTGAAATCAGGGGGAAAGTTAACAGGTGACACAGTCAGCCTATTTGTGAATTCCCATCCACCTGCTACTCTACCTAAACTGTTATTATGGTGTATGATTTATTTTAGAAAGAAAAAATCAAAGCCGCTACGTCCGACCCGGGAATAAATACTCTTAACTTCATAAATACTTGAAAATACATATCAAGTGAAGTGACAGCGGACAGATAACGTTTACGAAAACATTCAAATTTTGTTCGCAATGTGATAAGGGATATAAAAAAGTTTCTCATTCCTGTCTACTGCTTCTTCTCTTTTTGTTTCTTTTTATCTGCTTCTATATCTTCTATATCAAAGGGGGCGATGCTTCATTTCAAAACAGAACCTTCAGCACAACGTTAATTAAGAAAATGCTGAAAGCTAACCTCCTCGTGAGACGAGGATAATTTTCTGTTTAATATGGCCAAAAATAACCCTGTTCAGGCATAGGGCAGACTTGTCCGACTTAAAGTTAACTCCTTATACTATCACAACACCTTGTAGTCTGCCCAAAGCGCCGTATATCGAGGCTGCTACGTCTTGAGGTTATTTGTTGATACGTGCAAATGCTTTTATGTTTTCTCGGCCTCGTTTCAGCATCATTCTCTCAGATCTTCCTCCAACTATGGCATTCTTCATTTTTACCGAGTTACAATAAATATTAATCAGTTAGAATTAGTTGACCAACAGTCATGCCAAGCTCAAGATTACGCGATGATTAAACCTGACAAATTAGTATAAAACCTCGCGCCGCTTTCGAATTTTCCATTGTCAGGGGGTTTGGCGATTTCATTACCAACAGGGTCCTTGTCAAAAAAAAACCAGAACAAAACAGCCTGAGTGACATCCCATGCCATAGAGTTCATTATCAATTATACCGTTCACATTTTAGAACTCTAAAAAACGCATCAAAATGCAAATCTGAAATATTACAATGATATAATTATAAAAGGACACAGTCTAATGTTGCTGACCCCTGCGACTCCTCTCAAAATACGACAGGTTATTAGGGGTGTATCCTTAACCTCCCTTCCCCGAATCACTGTTGGCATCTGTTGATATGATAAGATAAGCATTACATGAAACCCCTCAGTGTATGGGTGTGGTTGGGGATACCGTCCACTCTAGCGGTTGCATTGGATAACGGTATGCGTCTGAAATGCAATCGATATCACCTCATGTTGCCTGCGTCAAACGTTGTGTGTTTGCCGCGTCCATAATTTACTTCGATGCGGTAGAACGTCGAATGTAGTAGGCCTATAACGTGTCCAAAAGACAAAATCACAGCCAGGGAGAGAAAGAGGAGTCCTTTATAGTTAAAAAAAATAAAAGCAGCCTGAAAACTATGCTTAAAGGCAATGTAAAGACCTTTCTGGTGCACGTTGCATTTAGGAGCTGATCAGTCGCATAACGTATAAAAAATTATGTAGTTGGCTCTTCAGTCTAGGATCTCTCTTTGGCTCTTAAGTCCGGGGAGAAACCGCCCCCCCCTCAGCCACGTTGCCATTCTTTTCTTTTTGAAGAATTGGAAGCGCCAACCTGAATACTCGAAACCAAATACAATATCTTGCCCCAGGTTTCGCTGATATTTGATTTTAAATAAAGCTTCATTTTAAATAAAGCTCCATAGACACATGAGCAAAAGAATTATCTCAGAAAACATTCGAGTGTTAATCTATGCCCCAACAAATTCAATTTTTTAAACTAGATGCAAAATGGGTCGGGTAAAATCGTTTCTGCCGTTGAGTGGCCATTAGTGATTCACAACAAATGAATTACACCTGCCTATTTTAACGTTTGCTTTATATTTTAGTGAAGTATTCGTACGTTAGTAATCTTCTTTCTAAAATACTTAGCTGCTCATGCGCACACCACATCTGCAAGTATCGTTGGGCCAACTTTGTATGCAAATACAAATGTAAGTAGGCCAGTATACACACATTGGGCACATCCACGAATAAAATAATGCACTGTATATGGTATATCATTCCAATGTAAAACTATCAAAGCTATTATGTGTCACAGTCATATGACTCAATTGGGCATGCATACTACCGGTAGTTACATGTCAAGTTAACAATAGTCTTGTATCACCAGCGTTTTAAAGCTGACTTATACCTCGTGAAATTTAAGGGCACAAAGTCAACGTTTGCTTTATACAAAGCCTAAATAACGCTCATATACAATCGCTGTTTTGTACCCCTCGCAGCTGCTATTGTATGTTTGAAGCATCAGGATCGCAGGAACTCAGAAA